ATCAACCTCATGAAAAAACTCGTACAGATACAGACCTCAATATATGTTCCATATGCATATGCATCCGAAGAAGTGGGCTGTAGTCCACGAAAGCTTATGCTCTAATAAATTTGTTAGTCTCTAAGGTGCCACAAGTCCTCCTGTTCTTCTTTTTGCGGATACAGACTAACACGGCTGCTACTCTGAAACCTTTCACAGTGGTGTGGTGTGTTCTCAGAAGCCTGCAAACATTTATGTCAATATCTTTGGATAGTTAGCCAGTCCCTTTGAAGCCACTGCTTTAGTGAGTAAAAGCTATGCACATGGTATGTTGAAATCTGCTATTCTCATGAGTATTAAACACTTATTCTCCTAGGTGCTGGAAGTAGGGGTGCTCTTGCACCACCCCCCGGTTTGAAGTGGTTTCCATCATATACAGGCTTTACAGCTTGGTTCAATGGCTCTCGCCCCCCATACAAATTGTTCCAGCACCCCTGTTTGCTCTGCTCAATGAAGAGGTGGTTGGCGCTCTTTCAGTGGCAGGCCATGTGAGCCACGCTTAGAGCAGTGGATCTGTTTCAGTGCCCCTGCAGCCCCTTTAGGGCGAAGCGGGCTCCGGGAGTGCAAACGGGCAGCTCATGGCCTTTATGGTGCCTGCTCCATGACCATGTTGTACTGACACGTCCCTTGCACGCGGCAGGAAAGGGACAGCAGCTCCTTCAGGGCTGGGCGAGGTTAAAGGCGCGGAGCTGCGGGCGAGCACAGCTGAGGCAGGAGAACGCAGCCGCCTCCTGCCCCTGGTAGCTTAGCGAGGCAGCAGCGGGAGGAGGAGCCGTGCGAAGCAGCGGCCCAGCCCAGGCGGGGGAAGCGAGGGCTCGGCTCGGAGCAGCAGAGAGGCCAGAGCAGAAAATGGTCGTTTGGGGCTTGGCGCAAAGGCGAAGCTGCTAGGAAGAGCCGAGCCGGAGCCCCGTGCAAGGGGGGGGGAGCTCCCCGCGCCGCGCAGCCTGCTTAGCCTCCCAGTCCAGCTAACGAGGCTGCTGCACTTCAGCTGCCGGCCGCAGTGACTCGTGCATGACCCACAGCAGTAGGACTGAGCGGAGCGCCCGCCCCGGCAGCATGCAGTAGGACTGAGGAGGCGCAGCCCGGCGGCCGCTGCTGTTCTGTGTCTCTTCGCTTCCTCCGTGCCTGGGCTCTGCCGGCTGAGGGATCCCGCAGGAAAATGGAGCCGTTCCCCCACGGTGAGTGGCGCCGCGGGCACTAGCCGCGCCCCTGCTGCAAGCGGACTCCTCGCTGCAGCCTTGATGCTGGCGGCAGCTGCCCTGGCCCCGGCGCGGCCCTGCCAGAGGGAGCCCCTGACTCCGTGCCTCTGCTCTGAGTGCGCAGGCCCCACAGGGCACGCTCAAGGTCAGGGGCTCCGGGGGCGGGGGGGAAGCACCCACCCACCGACCGAACGCACGCCCACAGCTGCACCCCACCCTGCCCAGTGCCCTGGGGGTGCAGCAGCGCAGGGAGCCAGCCCAGCTGCAACACTGAAGACTCACTGGAGAAAGTTTGACAAGATGGGGGCGGTAATAGCTTTTCTTGGTCTGATGGAAGATCTTACCTTGCCCACCTCCTCTCTAATATCCTGGGCCTACCATGGCTGCAGCACGGCAGGGAGGAAAGTGTGGTTTTTTTGTTGTGTTTTTTTAGCTGGCAGGAATTCGCCTTGCGGGCTGGTGGAAGGCAGCCTGGTCACTCATTCCCTGACCACCTCCTGTCCTGAAACACAAACTGGTGTGGCTCAGTGATCCACAGTGAGCCTGCGTTAAAGGCTTCTTAAAAATGCTGCTAACAGATAATTGAAAATTGTAAACCATCCCATGTGGGAGCAGTTTTGCTGCAGTTTTTTTCTTTTTAATTACAAGAGTGCATGAGAACCAGATTCTTTGTTTCTGCGGAGTTCATGTGCTCTTGTTTATTTCTCATGCACTGTCATAATCCTCTGTGGGACCTAACGTAATCGTATCTGAGCTTCGCTGACGTACACACAACAGGCAAATAATGCTCTTGCTCAGATACATGGCCCTCATCATTAGAGTTAGTACTTGCATAGACAGTGGAGAATAGGCAACAGGGGCAACTAAGGAACAAGATCCTATGTTTATGTAAATATCTTTGGTGATTGGCTGTTGACATTGAGTCAATCAAAAATGAGGGGAGATTGAAATAGGGAAAACAAGGGCAGGTGCTCTTCCCCGCCCCCACAACAGAGTGGCTTTCAAAACTATTTCCAGGCAGCTTCAGCAGTACTGTGCATTTCCCTTGTACCTTTCAGATGAGACTCTGAAAGCATATAGGTAACATTTGTATATTCTTACCTTACAAAGATGAGATTCAACTAGAGTCTCTGCATCCATTGTTAAAATGCAGTCATGTCTGGGGTGGAATGCAGCAGCTGTGTTAAAGCAACACTTCCCAGCGGCTAAAGGCGGAACATGAAGTTGCCCAAACCATTTGAAACTGCAGGGAATTTGAAAGTAGGGGTCTAAAATAGAATTTGGACAGGAGAGTGAGTGTAATATACTTCTTCCTATTCAAAATACTGAGAGGTTCTGAAGGACATGTGGTCAGGGTCTTGGTCAGTTAAGTTACACAAGTAAAAGAATTAAGAGTGGAAGCTGAAACTCTGCCAGAATTCACTGCATTGTACTTGAGTTTCTCAGTGATCTGTCAAGCCATAATGTAGTATCTGCTACAAAATTCAGAGAAATGCCTTTGCAGTGAAAACTGGATCTTTCTAGTCAACTTAATGAGATTTTGTCATGCCAGTATTACCCTATGTTTTCTCCAAAGAGCCTCATGTTTGCATGTCCAGATAGTCTTAACTTTGTAAATGTTTTTCCCTTTTGAGATGGCCCTTTAAAGTTGGTTTAAGAAGCACTATTGCATTTTATCACTAAATAAATTGAAGCTTGTTCAGTATAGGAGTCTTCCCAGGATTTAGCAAGAATATAAACAAAGTAGGCAGTAACTTGGAATATATTAAGAACTTATTACAATCAAAGAGTTTTATATTCTGTGCTCTTTGTACATCTGGGAAAAGATTACATCTCTATGAGCAGAAATCTAGTTTGTGGGAGGTATTTTTAATAAAGGAAATGGCTTAAGATCTAGAAGTACATGCTCTTATGTTGGAGAATATGTGCTGCCATGTTAATAACCTCACTCCAAAAGCCTTTTGGATCTGGGTTGTTAGTATTTCACTGTCATGCAGGAGAATGGTGTTTGAATTCTGCTCTTTTCTCACCAAGGCTGCAGCAGAGAGGTGTGGTAGGCCCCGAGAACACTGCTCAAAAGTGGTCTCTGCTGCTAATGGAGGAGTTGTGATGGAGGTAGGATTACCAACCCTCCGGGATTGGTCTGGAGTCTCCAGGAATTAAAGATTAATTAAAGATTGTCACGTGATGAAATCTCCAGGAATAGGTCCAACCAAAATTGGCAATCCTAATTGAAGGGGCTGGGAATCGAACCTTCTCCTTTCCTCCAGGAAGCTAAAACACATACCTTTGGGTGAAGAGTGGTGGTGGGAGTGTTTGGAGCAATCCTCCAGGTTAAAGACAAGCTGCAATTTCCTCCCACAAAAGGAAGCTACAGGAGATTTCCATGATATTCCGAGTATGGGAGGTTGATCTTGAGATGTGGTGTTGATATGTTGTTTCTCACACTCAATAGCTGCTTTTAAAATGTGAATAACTGGGAACATTCACACTGCTGGCTTTCTGAACAGAGAGTTAGTTTCTAGGGCTGGCAGTCTTGCACCTTGCATGAGCATTGAATCATTTCAGCAAATAACATTATTAAAAAACAAAACAAAAAAAAATCACACCCTTTGGATCACTTTGCTCTTGTGCGCCACTTAACAAGAAAAAGAGAGAAAACCAACCAAACCCTGAGGACTGTGGGCTCTAGTCCACATGTTCATTTTATGCAAAACTCTCATTGAAGCTTAGGGGTGTTATGTGACAGTTTGGTGTCAAGGATCATTTCCTCTTTCTTGACACCTAACCCTCCAGATATGGGACCATGTAAGCATCCAAACATGGGAACTTGCATTAGCATAGCTACGTCTCTCGGTGGTGAAAAATCCACACCCCTAAGAGACCTAGCTATGCTGACCCAACCCCAGCGTCGGCAGTGCTAGGTTGACCGCAGAATTCTTCCTTCGACCTAGCTACCACCTCTTGGGTATCTACGATTGAGATAGGTAGTGTCTGAACTGATGTGCTGCAGCACGGCACAGCTGCAGTGCTGAGGCTGTGCCCCTAGCATTTCAACTGTAGACCAGCCCAAAGGCACAGTTCTTCTAGTCAACGTTTCTTTTGTGATGGGGAACAGTTATTAAAATAAGAGGAAGGCTATGGCTCTCTTTGCCTACAAAAGAATGGGGGGGGGGGAAATCTTTAAACCCTGGATCAAAACATAGGTCCTGGTCCTCTGTGGGCAGTAAGGCCAGGGGGCTGCCAGAGCAGTTCATTATAAGATGAGGGCCTAAATAACTGAGGTTATAAATCGCTCAGTAATAGTTCCTGATTGCTTTTGTTTGTTTGTTCTTTGATAAGAAGTAATTAAACACAGGGATCAATCTAACCAAAACAAACATGCAGGCTCAAAGGCCCATATTGTTGCATAAGTCTCTGATTTTTGGCTGTGACTGCAGTACTTCTGTAAGTTGGGGACTACAATTTAAGGGATAGTCCTAGAGGACTGGAGAAGGGTAAACATTGTACTGACCTGGGAAATTATAGACCTGTCATCTTCACTTTAATATTTATTTGTTCCAGTATCTTTCCAAGTATTGAACAATCAGTTTGTAGGCACCTCCACAGTAATAGGATGATAAGCAATAGCCGGGATGGATTTATTGTCAGTTTGGCATGATTTGTTCTTAACTTCCCCTTTGAGGGGGTTACTAGCTAGGGGGAGAAGAAAGCCGTAGATGTGATTTTTTTTTTTTCCCTCTTAAAGTAAGGCTTCTAACACAGTCCCACATGATGTTCTCATAAAGTAGGGAAATGTGGCTTAGATTAAATAACTAGAAGATGGGTTAACAACGCATACCTCCTTTTTAAATACAGATCTTTTCAATGGTTTGCTATCAAACTGGGAGGGCATATCTAGCGGGGTCTTGCAGGGATATGTCCTGGGTACAGTACTCATCAATATTTTTGTTTAATGATTTGGATAATGGAGTGAAGAAGAATAGGCTTATAAAATTGCCAGATGACAATTGATGAGGGTTGCTAGTGCTTTGACTAGAATTCATGTCTTGGTTGTCTGAAATCAACCAAGATTAAATGCAATAAAGATAAGTGCAAAGTACTACTTAGAAAGGAAAAATCAAATGCACAAATACAAAATGAGGAGTAACTGGCTAAGCAGTAGCACTGCTGAAAAGGATGGGGGTTTATAGTGGATCACAAATTGAATATGAACCATCAATTTCATGCGGTTTTGGAAAAGGCTAATATCGTTCTGGGATCTATTAACATGAGTGAATGTAAGACACAGGAGATAATTGTCCTGCTCTACTCAGCACTGGTGAGGTCTCAGCTGGAGTCTTGTAGCACCCGCAACTGGACACACTTTAGGAAAGATGTGGACAAATTGTCAAGAGTCCAGAATAGGGCAACAAAAATAAGGTATAGAAAAAACCTGTCCTATGGGGAAAGGTTAAATAAACTGGGCATGTTCAGTCTTGAGACAAGAAGATGGAGAGGGGATCTGATAAGTCTTCAGATATGTTAAGGCTTGTTATAAGCAGGACTTTGATCCGTTGCTCTCCATGTCTATCAAGCGTAGGACAAGAAGTAATGGGCTTAATCTGCAGCAAGGGAGGTGTGTGTGTGTGTGTGTGTGTGTGTGTGAAATCCTTATCATTCAGGTGTTTTTAAGAATATGGATCATCTAGGTGTTCTGAACCCTGCCTTAGTGCAGGGGCTGGACTTGCTGACCTCTTGAGAACCCTTGCATTTCTATGATTCTATGGATGGTCCCACTAGAAATTGATAGGATTACTTGAGGAGGTAAGTACTAGTCAAAGTAAGGGTGGCAGAACTTGGCCATATGGCATTTGTTCTATAGTTCTGTGTGTTCCTTCATGATGTTGCAAAATGTCTTGCAAGGTTTGTGTTTTTACTTTCAGTTTGAAGTGTCTGAGGAGGTTCTCATTTCTACATTTCCTCTAAAATGTAGAAGGCATAAATAGATTGGTAAGGGTTTCCTTTATTAAAGGAGGGAAAAAATTGAAGTGGAGATATTTGCAGTGTTTCTTGTTTCAACCCATCTGTTTCAAACAAGTGACATGTGGAAACAAGTATCTAGAGAGAGAATAGCTTGTTGTTCGGATCTGCCGAAAAGCAAAAAGGGTGAACCCTTTGATTTATGGTGTGCATTTTTTTTTGACAAAACAAATAAACTCAGAAATTAAGATGAAATCTAATTAGAATAAATTGATGAGCAAAGTGAAATGAATTGCAGACAGTAGAAATAAGCCAGTTTTGCTACTGAAATTTGTGTAGGAAAAATGTTGATTTGGTAACTGACTTATTTCAACTGTTCTATGACTTCTAAAAATACTTCCTTTTGGGAACTAGTATTGTTAGTTGTACAGAGTGTATTCTTGGTTGCAGGAGCATGCCCTTTGTACAAATCCAAATCCACTGTTGCAATACTCTTATCCTTCTCTGTCAGCATTATGCACTGTCCTATTATGGATCAGAAGGGAGTCTACGCGTCAGCACCGTATCACTGAATCCTATAAAAGGTATGGATAAGATCTGTTAAATCAATTAGCCCATCATCCTGACAGTGCAAGATTGTACTCAGAAGTGTTGTGTTTGTGGTGTTTTTTGTGTTTTGTCCCAGCAGTGAGTGGTTCCACCACTTCCCTTGGGGAAAC